ACAAGACGCTGCACCCAAATGGTCTTTTTCTAATCTGCTGCCAGGGCCTGCCATGGGACCACAGCCATCCCAGGAAACTTCGTAGGGCATCTTCCATGCATTTAGTGACTTTAGGTTGTGCTACTGACAACAATAACAAAGTAGATAGATGTTTGGGTGCCTTATGGTATTGTACTGACACGTTATGTCATTCATCTTCACTACTGTTCCATGAGGTACCTGCCGTTATTACTTACCCTCATTTTATAGAAAGGGACACTGAGGGACAAAGAGCTTACATGACTTGCCCCGGGTCATCAGCTAGCAAGTGCCTGAGCCAGGCTTCCATTTCGGATCTGTCTCTCCTCAGAATCCAAGCAGTACAAGGTTATTCTTGGGAGGAGATTTTTATGCCTTCTAAGCCCATTCTCCTCCTTTCATCTAGTTATCTCTTATCTTCTATTTGGAAATGTTCCTGTCGGAGGGTAAAGCCACATCAGAGACTGGCAAATCTTTTTGGTGGAGTGTCAGGGAACCCCGACATCCAAAAGCCAAGAGTGGTGTGTTTTTGAAACTTCCTATCCTTCTGAGTCTTCACTCCTTTCTCCTAACTAGAGATGGGTTTAGAGTCATTTGGAAGATGATTCTGTATTAGGAGACCCTAAGGAATTCTTGAGTAAATGCAGAACTTATTAACCAATCAGACAAGCAGATGAGCCTCATGGAGTTTACAGCTCTGCCTGTTTCCTGAGCAAATCAGCAGGGGTTGGGCCAGGCCACTGAGACACTCCTGTGAAAGCAGCACAGGGCTGGGAGGGTCTTGGAATAGAAGTAGTAAGGTCTCAGGGCCACAGACATGACTATTAATGGAATTTAGACTACACTCTGTCAAAATAGTACACCCAATTGAATATTTGTTTACTGGGCAATTCCATGTGACTATGAATAATGAATTTAAACAAACCACAACCTTCAACTAGCCTATTGAATGCTCGCTGTGTGTCCCCTACTCTGAGTCTGATGTTCCTGCCCTGAAGCATGGTGTGTCAGTGGCAGGGCTGCCCGGAGATATAGGCAGACAGTGAACCCCACGCTGTTTGGATTTGGTGTTTGAAGTATCCTTTTCACAAAGTCGTAGATAGCTCTGGATCTAGAATCAAACAGGACCAACATGCCACCTACCAGCTGTGTGGCCTCAAGCCACTCACTTTTCCTCCCCCAGCCCCGTTTCCTCACCTCTGCAATGGACATACTGATACTTTGGCAGGCTGTTTAGGGGGGCTTATGAAAGAGTGTGATCACACTTTGTAAAGTACCTTGTCGATGCTGACACAATTTTGTGTTGTGTAGGAAATGTTTCCTTAGGGCTTATAACGCCCAATGTCAGTCATTCCTGAGAAAGTCCCCAAGTTACAAGGTCAACCAGAAGTCATAATGATGGTTTTGTAAATGTTTGGCCTATTAACTAAAATTAGTACCTTTCCCTCCTCAGTCTTGGGGCAGGAGTGGGAGTGGGTGGGTGGGAATGTTCAAGTCTATTTAAATGACCTTCATAAAATTCTTAAGCAAAGATTACTTTACCCTCTATCTTGGTGACTCATCATCACCTATGAGACACAGCTACCTAACCCATTGCTAGGCTGAGAGAGAGGAAAGGGGAGGATGCTTTTTAATTTTTCCCACATGCGTGACTGCTCCTAGTCTACTTTTGGGCAGAGGTAAAGTACTCCACAGTGTTTGATTTAGAGGCATGGGGAGATCTGCCCTGCCATTCCTCGGGGAGCCCTAAATGTTGATTTGCCTCTGGGAGGGTGGGGTTTGGCGAAACCTAATTTACAGCGTCTCCCTGGTACTGATTTCCTTTCACATGCTCTAAAGGAAGTGCTCTGGTGATACTGGCGCTGAGCAAGGAACAAAGGCTTTAAAATGTCGGCTCTGGAAACAAAACTGCACCTTGTGATGTTAGCATAATTACACCACACTTGATCTCTGATTACAGCCCAAATGACAAATGGCTAAATCCAGCTAACATGGAAAAACTAGAAAAAAAGGGAAAGGGTGGATGGGGCGGGGGAGGGAGGCGAGATCAACCAAACCTGTGACAAGAGCCAGAGCAAGGGGCCTTGGTTGGACACAAAGCCTTGTGTTTCCGCTTGTCTGGTACTGGCTGCAACACCTCCTAGCCCCAGCCCCCACCCCTTTCTTTTCTATAGCCAGAAGAGCTCTGCTCTGCGTGTTGACACTAGCTGTGGGAACTCTATGATTTAAAGTTGAGTTGAAAGAACTTCTTTTATCATTTTAAGTATGCAGCCCCAGGCCAAAACAGACAGAACAGTTTTTGAAAGTCTCAGTTCAAAAGCAGCTTGAAACAGCCTCTTTTTCTCACGTGAATGTCTCCATCAAAAGGAGCCCCAAACGTCTCCACCACTCTGTGTGCCTTTCCTCTGATTGTCTACCTGGCAGGCTCCCCCAGGTTAACTGACTAACCCCACTCACTGGCTCCCCCGGGTTAACTGTGGCTGAGTTCAGCTGAATGTGAAGCAGGAAGATGAAGGAAGGCACTTCCTTGCAGCCACTGACAGAGCAGCCCATTCCGCTACTGCCACTGCTGGGAAACCCGAGTGGGAGCGCCGAAAATGGGATGTGGGCTTTCCCTCCAACTATGGCATATTACAGAAATAGAAAAGTGCCACATAAAATGGTGGCAGCTGCTACATGTTGCTCAGAAAAACACAAGACTTCTAACTAAGGATGTACAGTCTGTTTTTAATGCTACTAATAAATACCATGCATTCCGAGTCTGTAGCAGATCCCCCATTATCCTGTCATCCTCCAGGTGAGGTTTCCTACTTTACAGATCACTAAGAACATGACTCTTTATTAGTGAGCAGATGCTTAAAATGACGACACAGAGACAAACCCCGTGTATTCCAAATTGTCCCTAGCTGCTGCAGGATTTGGGATGGAATTTGAGGGCTTTTATTCCTCTGCTGTTCAATTGTCACATCAGCGTATTTCTTGAGGAGCAGAAACAAAGCTTCCATCATCTTGACCCTGAGTGATTGACTTCACTCATAAGAGGTTCACAGTCAATCATTTGTGGGTTGTTGTTGTTTTTTGTTTGTTTGCTTAACTCCCTGATATTTGATAGGTACCCACTTGTTTGTTGATAGATTGAGCATCTTTTATGCAGCCAGTATGATACCTAGTTGTAGCGGTTTGTTTTTTTGGTTTTGTTTTTTTTTAATTGGGGAATTGGGGGAAGGGGAACAGACAAGTTGCTGTCATTTTGTTCTTCAGTCTAGTTGTGGAGGACGTTGCTTCACTGG